AATATCATTTGTATGTATTTTATAATATATACCGAGTTGGGTAAAGTCAACCCAACCCTGACCTGACTGTAGCCGATAGGATCCAAATTGGACCCAGCCTTGAGTTAGATATGAGTCAAGTCAATGTCAAGTGGACCGAGACCCGATCTATTTGTGTTGACCCATCAGGGTCTTCACTCAACCCAATTCACACCCCTAGGTTGAACCCGTCACCCACCAGTTCCTAGTTGAACTAGTTGAGTTGGCCTTGGCTCGATTGACTGAACCATATTAAGAAAAAAATAAATTAATTTTCAATTTTTTTTAAATACTTATTAATATTGTCAGGTTGGTAAGGCGTCACAAGATGATATCTTGAGATCCATTCATACCACAAATAGGGGACCATTTCTATTTGTGATATGCCAAATCTACACTAATTTTTTGGGTGTGGTTTGTATAAGCTTTCACACCTTTAAATCTTGTTAAAAGATGAAGTTTCATTACTAGAAGGAAAACTGTTTCATGTAGGCGGGATCGCATTTTTATAATATGCAGTCTAGATATATAAAGCATCCATTTTAAAGATTGATGCAAATAGGTAGTCCATCTAAAAACAATTGTAACTAACAGTCCAAATATTTTTTTAAATACAATCATTATTTATTTATATATATATATATATATATATATATATTATAAATCATATTCATGATCTCCATGTTAAAGATTATATATTCTTTAAAAATTAAGATCACGTTAAATTTAAAAAATATATTTATTGCCAAGCCCACATTTCTACAATATGCAGGCTGGCCGCATAGAAATGTTGTTATGCTCTAAAATTTTATTTTTATACATAATTGTGAAACTTAACTCCAAAATGCTGTAGATCGAGTAGATCTCCAAACAATTAAGTTTTTTTAAAGAAAGGATATCAATTATGTTACAAAATACACTATTTGTTGATTTGAGATTTTATTTTATTATATATATATATATATATATATTCATGTTGAGATGATTAATTGGAGCGTATTTTGATATTGGAGGACCTTTTTTGGATATATTTTTTATGTATACTTGCTTAAACCCTTTCCCATTTTTTTTTGCTTCAAATTTCATTTTGAGAAGGCATCATAATTCATAAACGTCTAATGCGATTGCCAAGGTAAAGAGCCTTCGTGATATTTACTCACTAGAAAGGGGTTATTGTTTCCCATGGTTGAGAAAAGTTCCTTGATCATGCCTGTATTTTCCATCGTTTGCCCCTTAAAAACCTCCCCCGCTGCCAGTAGGGTTTTAAAACGAAGGATCTCTGTAACTTGTTCTTCCTCAAGGACCACAATGAGCACGAGGAAAGCCCTAACCTCCATTTATTCTCTCTCTAGAAACTCAACAATTCGCCATTTTCTCTCTCCTTATGCAAATGATTTCAAAGCTTTTTCTTCAATAGGTGCGCCATTTCAAATCACATTAGATTTGCATTTATAAAGGATTCCGTGTTCCTGAAAATCGAGCTATTATCTGTGATTTTTGGAAACATTTATGGGGTTTTCCCAAATTAATAAAGTTATGGGTTGTTTAAATTGCAGGAGCTTCACCTGGCAATGATTTCAGAGACCACTTTCTCTCATATTTGGATGCACCGCAGGTATGATTGCTTATATTTTCATCAATTATTGTAAAAATCCAATGGGTAAATAAAAAAGCGCAAAACTGATTAAAAGAAAAGGAAAATCAGAGAGATAATGTGAAAGTTAGACAATGGAGCCAAGTAAGGATCAGTGAGCATCATAATAGTGTGAATCAATGGGTTAACAACTCATTACAATTTTCAATTTTGGGTTTTGAGTTTTGAGTAGGAAATATGGGAAAAAAATATGTAACCAAATGACCGAATTACTAGCAAAACTTGATTCTGAACTCTTTATTTTTATAAATCTTAGGATTTATGAGAAATTACTTGCAATATTTCACAATAAATTTTTTTATGTGTATTTTTTTTTTTATTCATGTTTATTAATTACTTGTCTGTATACTAATCATCTGATGAGCAAGGGCTAGATTAATCCTTCCAATCCTTAAGATTGTGTCCTGAAAGGAAACTATACATAGGAAACCCCCCCAATTTATATTGTTATAGTATTTAGAGGAAAAATGTCAGATTTTTGGCATATGTACCACAGGGTTCCTTATGTTTTATTTTATTTATCAGATGTTCCTGTTTCGATATCTTTACCATCTTTCTTGTCCATGCATGAGGTATTTGTAATGCACAAACCAAATGTCTGGAAGAGTTCCATTAACTTCCATTTTTATATCACGATTTTGTGGTTTATTCATTACAGTGTTTCAAAAAGCGCTAGGCGGCACGTAGGCGGTCCCGGGGGTCCAAGCCGCTCAGCGCCCAGAACCTGGGCAGCCCAGTAGATTTTTTTATTTTTTATTGGTTTTCTCTCTCTAAAATAACCTCTAATTTGTTTTAGGTTTCAAATGAACATAAAACTCACAAGTTTTCCCTTTAGTATTAAAAAAATGACCTAAAAATACCCTACTTTCCCCTGTAGTATTAAACAAATGGGGCGGCCGCCTAGTCGGGTTTCCGGGCACCTAGGGATATCCGTCTAATTTGGCCGCCTAGGCCTGGGTGATGTGCCCAGGCCTTCTGAACCGCCTAGGCAGTTGCCTAGGCGTTGGGCGTTTTGCTTTTTAAAACACTGATTCATTTCAAGACTCGTTTTCAGCTTACTATGAATACTAGGTTAGAGACAACACATGCCTCTTGTCGGTTTGACACATGGTTGCTGAGAACACTTGTTACAGAACAAAACATGAGTTTAATTGGCCTCATATGTTTGTACCAAGTGAATCATATTTTGTAGAAATGTTTGCAATATCTATTGTTACTTATATAGATGAGTTGAAAAATTTTCATCATCATCATTAGAGCCTTTTCTCAATTATTTGGCGTCGGTTGTACGAATCGTGGTTCGTCATTCCATTCTATCTAGTGAGGTTATAAGTCTCTATATCTTTTCTCACTACTTCCAACAATGTCCTTTTGGGCCTACTCCTTGTCCTTTTTTAGCCTTCCATCTAAATCAATTCGCACCTCTTAACAAGTGTTGTATTGGGTCTGCCTTGCACGTAGTCAGCCCACTTAAGTCTATTGTCTCTCATCTTATCACCTATTGGAGCCACACTTAAGTTCTCTCGAGAGTATTTATTTTGAATTTTATCCCTTCTTATCTTGCCATTCATCCATCTCAACTTCCTCATCTGAGTTACACTCATCCTGTGAATATGTTGTTTCCTGACTGCCCAATATTCCGTTTCATAAAGCAAAGCTGGTCCCAAAATTGTCCTATAGAATTTGTCCTTTAGCTTCGTTGGTATACGACGATCGCATAAAACTCTAATTGGACATCTCCACCTTGCCCATCCAACTCTAATTCTATGTGAGACATCTCCCTCAATCTCTTCATTTTTCTGTATTATTGACCCAAGATATGGAAAGTGCACTCTTTTTTAGTATTTTTGATCGTCAATCTTAACTACTTCCTCGTCTCTACTCCTAGTATTACTAAACTTGCATTCTATATACTATATCGTAGTTTGACTAATTTTAAAACCTTTAAATTCTAGAATTTTCCTTTGAAGTTCTAGCTTTGTGTTGACGTGACTGTAGGTCTCATCGATCAAAACTATGTCGTCCTCGAACAACATGTTAGTTTCAGTCACGGTAGATAACCAGACAGTTTGTGGATACCCTGACAAACAGTTTAGAACCTGACTGTTGTTCAATGGGCTGACTGACAGTCGATTGCCTGACTCACAGTTGATGGCTTAACTTACAATCGATGGCCTAACTTACAGTCAATGGCCTGACTGATGGCCTAACTTACTATCTCAATTCCCAGAAAATTTTTGGCAGCACCTCCCCTTATCCGGGTTCTGTGATAAACGAATAATACCAGAACACTCCTAGTACCAGTCGGACTCCCGTAGGAATCGGAGCAGGTTTTAGAGGTTATATCTGGAACAAAACACTCCTAGTACCAGTCGGACTCGTGTAGGAATCGGAGCAGGTTTCGAAGGTTATATCGAATGGCTATGTAAATTTGAAATCTGGAGGTATGAGAGGAGCTCGCTTTCTTCGAAGTGTTTAACGGCACCGACTCGGTTAGAAAATCGATATACAAATGGTATTTGGTGAGAACACTCCCAGGATACAGCCAGATCAGGAAGAAATTCCTAAATCTCTGAATTGCACGTTCAAAGATTCGCTCAAAACCACAGTAAAATCATACCGATATGTCCTCTATTACCAAAATATTTCTCCAGACCATTTGAAATTATGCCAAAAAATCTTCTCTGAATTAACAGGAAGATGCTCCCTTAAGCATTCAAAAAGCTGTAACAATCTCTATGATAGGTAAATAGACATCATGAAACATGGCATACCCATCATAAGTCACAGTGAAAATGCACTTAGAGAGAGAGAGAGAGTAGTAGTATGATTTTTCAGATTTTCACACACCAACCAAGTATCTTGTTCTCTCTCTAAATTGAAAACAAATATATAAGGGAGGAGAGGATGATAGGTCATGAAAACAAAGGACCACATCATTACCATAACATGATCTTATGTGATGTCAACACATCATAACCATGTGGCAAGTATAAAGAGTGTTAAAAGGAGAGAGAGATGAGAAGGCGCCACATGTCGCCCAAAACTTAAGGAAATCAGGGAGACTCCAAGAGTTAACCGAATAAAGAGGTAAAAGAGAAAGGAAAGAAAGTGTGGTCCCTTGTACCACCCAAAGTAAAGAAGTCAAGCATAAAAGAAGAGGTAATAAAGGCCTGTTTGTTTTGAAACAACACAAAATTTTAACAATCCCCCACTTGTTCCAAAACAAAAGGACTGCCAAAGAACATATCAGGAAAGAGAATGCATAAGGGAAGGTGTCTAGTAGACTTGAACCTTCGCATAGTATTATACAGAACACTTATCAGGACAGTGAGTGGACGAACCTTGAACTATGTCCATAAAAGATAAGCATCCCACATACCACACATTTCCTTTCAAAGACTGTGATTTTCTAAAAGGCTTGCGCTTTAAAGGCCCTGCGCTAATCCTGTTTTCATGAGCGGTCAAGGAAATGCCTAGTTTCCATTGGAAGCGGCCTCCACCTCCACACTCATATAGGTGAGTCTATGAAAGATGTCTTGCAGTGCGACACCCGAGCCTAGGCCTTATATCGTCTAGGCAAATGGAATCATTAAGAGCGAAGCTCATTCTCTTTTTTGTTGCAGTAAATACACCACACAGCCAAGGATGGGGCAGAAATCTTATAAATTTCCATAATATAAAATTTTGTGGTGTAAACTTACATCAGACATCACACGAGTGACTTGTTTGTCCTTTTGAACCTTAAACTTGGGATCTCCTTGTCCTTAGGTCGGGTTCCCATCACTTTGTGGCATAATATAACTGGGTTTCAATCCCATCCCTCTAGCTGTCTTCCAGACTTGGTCCCTTGCAAGGCCTTTAGTTAATGGATCCGCGAACATGGAGTATTGAAATAACTCCATCTTCCAACAAAAGGCTCAATTGACTGTGCCTCAAGTGAATATATCTGGATTTTCTAGGATAAATTTGCTTTTCGCTTGGAATACTGCAGCTTCGCAGTCACCCCATATTGAGACTGCAGGCATGGGCCCAGAGACAAGGGGTACGTCTACCAACAAGTTCCTTAGCCACTCAGCCACTTTACTAGTGATTTCCAAAGCTATTAACCCCGATTCCATCCTGGATTTGGAGATACAAGTTTGCTTCTTATAACCCTAAGCAACGACACCTCCAGCAAAGGTGAAGATCCATCCGCTAGTAAGCATGGATTCATCAGAATCCGTAATCCAGTTTGCATCGCTGTATCCTTCGAATACAACGGGTTTACCCACATAATGTAGGCCATAGTTAATGGTTCCTTTGAGATACCGCAGGACCTTATTGACTGCATTCCAATGCTCTTGACTTTGTTTACTGGTGTATCTACTCAGTTTACCCACAACAAAGGCTATCTTAGGTCTAGTGCAAGACATTGCATACATTATATGTCCAATGACTCAAGCATAGTCCAATTGGGAAACAAGACCGTTATGGTTCTTTCTGAGTTAATTTGAGCATCATAAGGGGTCGAAACTGGCTTGGAATCAAAGTGGCCAAATCTTTTGAGCACTTTTTCTATATAGTGGCTCTAGGTTAATAATACATACACAGCCGGATTCCTCCCTATTTTAATTCCAATATCACATCAGCTTGCCCTATGTCTTTCATATTAAACTCAGAAGACAATAAGTTCTTTGTGTCCTTTATGCATGCAGTAGTGCTGCCTAGTATGAGCATATCATCTACATACAGGCAAATTATAACAACTGCACTGTCACAAACTCTGGCGTACACGTACGTATCAACATCATTGATCTGAAAACCGTGTGATAAAATAATTCTATTAAAATTTTCATGCCATTGTTTGGGTGCTTGCTTCAAACAATATAGGGATTTCACAAGTTTACAAACTTTGTGTTCTTGTCCCTTGAGGACAAATCCCTCAGGTTGCTCAAGATAAATTTCTTCATCTAGTTCAC